CAGGTGGGGGTGTTGTCAGGGACAGGTACATCAGGTGGAGGTGTTGTCAGAGACAGGTACATCAGGTGGGGATGTTGTCAGGGACAGGTACATTAGGTGGGGGTGTTGTCAGGGACAGGTACATCAGGTGGGGGTGTTGTCAGGGACAGGTACATCAGGTGGGGGTGTTGTCAGGGACAGATACCTGAGATGTTAGGTTGTAATTATCAGTAATTACATCTGTTGTACTGCACATCTTGTCTGATAAAACAGCAGGTTAAACAATGCACAGGCAATCAAACACACTGCTGCAAATTGGTTCAGATTTTTTCAATCAAATTGATGAGCGTTTAAAACGGCAAATAAAACGTTACATTAGAGCACCATGTGCTGTGAGACTGTGATAATTTTTCCATTTCACAACGCATTTGTTGCTTTGGTTGAATTTTTTTGCCAATTCATTAATTTGGATATGGCAGAAGAGACGGTTAAAATTTTAAGTGTCTGTGTGTAAGGACTATATAGGTGACAGACAAACAAATGAATACAACAGTTTTAATGTCTTTCATTGTCACCTATAGCACAGCTCCACAGCCTGGGCACTTACACAGCACATGTAATTCATGTTTATGTCCAGGGTACACCACGGGGATGTTTTATGAGGTATTAAGGGGACATCAGGGGCAAAAGTGGCTTTGTCTGTTCGGTGGACACTCAATGACCACAGAAGTGAAACTTGTGACAGGATAGATTATTTATAGTGACCAGCTTCAAGTCACCTGTACAACAACTAATGTTTTATTTTATTGTTTAATTACATACATAGGACTTTTTATTTTTTGTTTCTAAAGATACTTTGAGGTTTGATCTTTGTTTGTTTCTGTAGATACTTTGAGGTTTGATCTTTGTTTGTTTCTGTAGATACTTTGAGGTTTGATCTTTGTATTTTGTTTCTGTAGATACTTTGAGGTTTGATCTTTGTTTGTTTCTGTAGATACTTTGAGGTTTGATCTTTGTTTGTTTCTGTAGATACTTTGAGGTTTGATCTTTGTTTGTTTCTGTAGATACTTTGAGGTTTGATCTTTGTTTGTTTCTGTAGATACTTTGAGGTTTGATCTTTGTATTTTGTTTCTGTAGATACTTTGAGGTTTGATCTTTGTTTGTTTCTGTAGATACTTTGAGGTTTGATCTTTGTATTTTGTTTCTGTAGATACTTTGAGGTTTGATCTTTGTTTCTGTAGATACTTTGAGGTTTGATCTTTGTTTGTTTCTGTAGATACTTTGAGGTTTGATCTTTGTTTGTTTCTGTAGATACTTTGAGGTTTGATCTTTGTTTGTTTCTGTAGATACTTTGAGGTTTGATCTTTGTTTGTTTCTGTAGATACTTTGAGGTTTGATCTTTGTATTTTGTTTCTGTAGATACTTTGAGGTTTGATCTTTGTTTCTGTAGATACTTTGAGGTTTGATCTTTGTTTGTTTCTGTAGATACTTTGAGGTTTGATCTTTGTTTGTTTCTGTAGATACTTTGAGGTTTGATCTTTGTTTGTTTCTGTAGATACTTTGAGGTTTGATCTTTGTATTTTGTTTCTGTAGATACTTTGAGGTTTGATCTTTGTATTTTGTTTCTGTAGATACTTTGAGGTTTGATCTTTGTTTGTTTCTGTAGATACTTTGAGGTTTGATCTTTGTATTTTGTTTCTGTAGATACTTTGAGGTTTGATCTTTGTTTGTTTCTGTAGATACTTTGAGGTTTGATCTTTGTTTGTTTCTGTAGATACTTTGAGGTTTGATCTTTGTTTGTTTCTGTAGATACTTTGAGGTTTGATCTTTGTTTGTTTCTGTAGATACTTTGAGGTTTGATCTTTGTTTGTTTCTGTAGATACTTTGAGGTTTGATCTTTGTTTGTTTCTGTAGATACTTTGAGGTTTGATCTTTGTTTGTTTCTGTAGTTACTTTGAGGTTTGATCTTTGTTTGTTTCTGTAGATACTTTGAGGTTTGATCTTTGTTTGTTTCTGTAGATACTTTGAGGTTTGATCTTTGTTTGTTTCTGTAGATACTTTGAGGTTTGATCTTTGTTTGTTTCTGTAGATACTTTGAGGTTTGATCTTTGTTTGTTTCTGTAGATACTTTGAGGTTTGATCTTTGTTTGTTTCTGTAGATACTTTGAGGTTTGATCTTTGTTTGTTTCTGTAGATACTTTGAGGTTTGATCTTTGTTTGTTTCTGTAGTTACTTTGAGGTTTGATCTTTGTTTGTTTCTGTAGATACTTTGAGGTTTGATCTTTGTTTGTTTCTGTAGATACTTTGAGGTTTGATCTTTGTTTGTTTCTGTAGATACTTTGAGGTTTGATCTTTGTTTGTTTCTGTAGTTACTTTGAGGTTTGATCTTTGTTTGTTTCTGTAGATACTTTGAGGTTTGATCTTTGTTTGTTTCTGTAGATACTTTGAGGTTTGATCTTTGTTTGTTTCTGTAGATACTTTGAGGTTTGATCTTTGTTTGTTTCTGTAGTTACTTTGAGGTTTGATCTTTGTTTGTTTCTGTAGATACTTTGAGGTTTGATCTTTGTTTGTTTCTGTAGATACTTTGAGGTTTGATCTTTGTTTGTTTCTGTAGATACTTTGAGGTTTGATCTTTGTTTCTGTAGTTACTTTGAGGTTTGATCTTTGTTTGTTTCTGTAGATACTTTGAGGTTTGATCTTTGTTTGTTTCTGTAGATACTTTGAGGTTTGATCTTTGTATTTTGTTTCTGTAGATACTTTGAGGTTTGATCTTTGTTTGTTTCTGTAGATACTTTGAGGTTTGATCTTTGCCATTCTTGAAATCCTTAGATTCATTGAACCTTGATGTTTGAATGTCATGGTATGTATAACTATATTTCAGTGATTTTGTACATATCTTGAAATTAGATCTCTGTGTAGTGTTTCTCTTGATACCTGGCACTAGTTTGAAAAGTCAATTCTCAAAATTCAAGAGAGTAATAAATTGGACAATTTGAAAACAGAAGAAGTTAGAAGGATAACCCTCCTCTCAAGTGATATGAGATAGAAACATGTGTGTTTACATGGTCTGTACTGTAGTATGTCACAATGAGATTGTGTCCAAGGTGATGCCATTATTATGATAAATCGTACCTCTCAGCACCTGATATGTTTAGAAGCAAATCTTGCTTGTATTTTGTTCCCTGGATTCATTTTTAACATGTTTTCTGGTAATGCATTAATATCAAGACATGCATTAAGATCATGTTCATTACACGTATGAAAGAATTTCATTTTTCTTAAATAAATAATGACCAATAAATCAGTGTTAGTTCTTCTACCAAGTCTAATTATAGACTGTGGAGAAGGTATCTGAAAGGTCGACCATGTGACCTAACAATCCTTTTAGGTATGTGATTTCTACCACAATAACACCCCTCACACTCCTCTAAGTCGACAAGACTCATGAATTATTGCATGTTGTAAAATAAGTAAGGTTAATATTTAAGTAAGAATTAATTGAAAGTTACTGTGAGTAGGATGTTTTATGATATATGGTTATAATAATGGTTGTGTGTTGTGGAATGGTGAGCACTCTGATGGTAAAGTACATAATTCTCCATGTACACATGATTACCATGTACACATGATTTCCATGTACAGATGATTTCAATGTACAGATGATTTCCATGTACACATGATTTCGATGTACAGATGATGTACATATGATTTCCATGTACAGATGATGTACAGATGATTTCCATGTACACATGATTTCCATGTACACATGATTTCTATGTACACATGATGTACAGATGATTTCCATGTACAGATGATGTACACATGATTTCCATGTACACATGATTTCCATGTACACATGATTTCCATGTACACATGATTTCCATGTAAACATGATTTCCATGTACACATGATTTCCATGTACAGATGATGTACACATGATTTCCATGTACAGATGATTTCCATGTACAGATGATTTCCATGTACAGATGATTTCCATGTACAGATGATGTACAGATGATTTCCATGTACACATGATTTCCATGTACAGATGATTTCCATGTACAGATGATGTACAGATGATTTCCATGTACACATGATTTCCATGTACAGATGATGTACAGATGATTTCCATGTACACATGATTTCCATGTACAGATGATGTACAGATGATTTCCATGTACACATGATTTCCATGTACAGATGATGTACACATGATTTCCATGTACAGATGATTTCCATGTACACATGATTTCCATGTACACATGATTTCCATGTACAGATGATGTACAGATGATTTCCATGTACACATGATTTCCATGTACACATGATTTCCATGTACACATGATGTACACATGATTTCCATGTACAGATGATGTACAGATGATTTCCATGTACACATGATTTCCATGTACAGATGATTTCCATGTACAGATGATGTACAGATGATTTCCATGTACACATGATTTCCATGTACAGATGATTTCCATGTACAGATGATTTCCATGTACAGATGATTTCCATGTACACATGATTTCCATGTACACATGATTTCCATGTACAGATGATGTACACATGATTTCCATGTACAGATGATTTCCATGTACACATGATTTCCATGTACACATGATGTACACATGATTTCCATGTACACATGATTTCCATGTGCAGATGATTTCCATGTACAGATGATGTACACATGATTTCCATGTAAGCATGATTTCCATGTACAGATGATGTACAGATGATTTCCATGTACACATGATGTACAGATGATTTCCATGTACACATGATTTCCATGTACACATGATTTCCATGTAAGCATGATTTCCATGTACACATGATTTCCATGTATAGATGATGTACAGATGATTTCCATGTACAGATGATGTACACATGATTTCCATGTACACATGATTTCCATGTAAGCATGATTTCCATGTACACATGATTTCCATGTATAGATGATGTACAGATGATTTCCATGTACAGATGATGTACAGATGATTTCCATGTAGTTTCAGGTAAAGATGTCAAAGAAGATCAAGAGCAGATGGCAGATTCAACATCTCAGCCAGGAGAGGAACCGGAGGGGGAGGAACCGGAGGGGGAGGACCAAGAGGAGGATGGCCAGGAAAGGTAAGTACACCATGTTCTACACTTCACATCTACCTATCTTCATAAACTTCTTTTGTAACAAAATATCACAACTTACTTGTGTCTTCTTACAACTAGGTAGACTTCTGTCACGGCTCACTGGTGTCTACTCACTGTCCAGGTAGATTTCTTCTGTCCCATCGCATTGGTGTCTTCTCACTGTCCTGATAGACTTCCTCTGTCCAATCTCACTAGTGTCTTCTCACTGTCCAGGTAGACTTCCTCTGTCCCATCTCACTGGTGTCTTCTCACCCTCCAGGTAGACTTCCTCTATCCCATCTCACTGGTGTCTTCTCACTGTCCTGATAGATTTCCTCTGTCCCATCTCACAGGTGTCTTCTCACCCTCCAGGTAGACTTCCTCTATCCCATCTCACTGGTGTCTTCTCACTGTCCTGATAGATTTCCTCTGTCCCATCTCACAGGTGTCTTCTCACCCTCCAGGTAGACTTCCTCTGTCCCATCTCACTGGTGTCTTCTCACTGTCCTGATAGATTTCTTCTGTCCCATCTCACTGGTGTCTTCTCACTCTCAAGGTAGACTTCCTCTCTCCCATCTCACTGGTGTCTTCTCACTGTCCAGGTAGACTTCCTTTGTCCCCATCTCACTGGTGTCTTCTCACCCTCCAGGTAGACTTCCTCTGTCCCATCTCACTGGTGTCTTCTCACTGTCCTGATAGATTTCCTCTGTCCCATCTCACTGGTGTCTTCTCACTCTCCAGGTAGACTTCCTCTGTCCCATCTCACTGGTGTCTTCTCACTGTCCAGGTAGACTTCCTCTGTCCCCATCTCACTGGTGTCTTCTCACCCTCCAGGTAGACTTCCTCTGTCCCATCTCACTGGTATCTTCTCACTGTCCGGGTAGACTTCCTCTGTCCCATCTCACTGGTGTCTTCTCACTGTCCAGGTAGACTTCCTCTGTCCCATCTCACTGGTATCTTCTCACTGTCCAGGTAGACTTCCTCTGTCCCATCTCACTGGTGTCTTCTCACTGTCCTGATAGATTTCCTCTGTCCCATCTCACTGGTGTCTTCTCACTCTCCTGATAGACTTCCTCTGTCCCATCTCACTGGTGTCTTCTCACTGTCCAGGTAGACTTCCTCTGTCCCATCTCACTGGTGTCTTCTCACTGTCCAGGTAGACTTCCTCTGTCCCATCTCACTGGTGTCTTCTCACTGTCCTGATAGACTTCCTCTGTCCCATCTCACTGGTGTCTTCTCACTGTCCTGATAGACTTCCTCTGTCCCATCTCACTGGTGTCTTCTCACTCTCCAGGTAGACTTCCTCTGTCCCATCTCACTGGTGTCTTCTCACTGTCCAGGTAGACTTCCTCTGTCCCATCTCACTGGTATCTTCTCACTGTCCAGGTAGACTTCTTCTGTCCCATCTCACTGGTGTCTTCTCACTGTCCAGGTAGACTTCCTCTGTCCCATCTCACTGGTGTCTTCTCACTGTCCTGATAGATTTCTTCTGTCCCATCTCACTGGTGTCTTCTCACTCTCAAGGTAGACTTCCTCTCTCCCATCTCAGGTAGACTTCCTCTGTCCCATCTCACTGGTGTCTTCTCACTGTCCAGGTAGACTTCCTCTATCCCATCTCACTGGTGTCTTCTCACTGTCCTGATAGATTTCCTCTGTCCCATCTCACTGGTGTCTTCTCACTCTCCTGATAGACTTCCTCTGTCCCATCTCACTGGTGTCTTCTCACTGTCCAGGTAGACTTCCTCTGTCCCATCTCACTGGTGTCTTCTCACTGTCCAGGTAGACTTCCTCTCCCATCTCACTGGTGTCCCATCTCACTGGTGTCTTCTCACTGTCCTGATAGACTTCCTCTGTCCCATCTCACTGGTGTCTTCTCACTCTGTCCCATCTCACTGGTGTCTTCCTCTCCTCTGTCCCATCTCACTGGTGTCTTCTCACTGTCCAGGTAGACTTCCTCTGTCCCATCTCACTAGTGTCTTCTCACTGTCTGATAGACTTCCTCTGTCCCATCTCACTGGTGTCTTCTCACCCTCCAGGTAGACTTCCTCTGTCCCATCTCACTGGTGTCTTCTCACTGTCCTGATAGATTTCCTCTGTCCCATCTCACTGGTGTCTTCTCACTGTCCAGGTAGACTTCCTCTCTCCCATCTCACTGGTGTCTTCTCACTGTCCAGGTAGACTTCCTCTGTCCCATCTCACTGGTGTCTTCTCACTCTATAGATAGACTTCCTCTGTCCCATCTCACTGGTGTCTTCTCACTGTCCTGATAGACTTCCTCTGTCCCATCTCACTGGTGTCTTCTCACTGTCCTGATAGACTTCCTCTGTCCCATCTCACTGGTGTCTTCTCACTGTCCAGGTAGACTTCCTCTGTCCCATCTCACTAGTGTCTTCTCACTGTCCAGGTAGACTTCCTCTATCCCATCTCACAGGTGTCTTCTCACTGTCCTGATAGACTTCCTCTGTCCCATCTCACTGGTGTCTTCTCGCTGTCCTGATAGACTTCCTCTGTCCCATCTCACTGGTGTCCCCTCTGTCCCATCTCACTGGTGTCTTCTCACTGTCCAGGTAGACTTCCTCTGTCCCATCTCACTGGTGTCTTCTCACTGTCCTGATAGACTTCCTCTGTCCCATCTCACTGGTGTCTTCTCACTCTATAGATAGACTTCCTCTCTCCCATCTCACTGGTGTCTTCTCACTGTCCAGGTAGACTTCCTCTGTCCCATCTCACTGGTGTCTTCTCACTGTCCTGATAGACTTCCTCTGTCCCATCTCACTGGTGTCTTCTCACTCTATACTGGTAGTCTTCTCACTGTCCTGACTTCCTCTGTCCCATCTCACTGGTGTCTTCTCACTGTCCTGATAGACTTCCTCTGTCCCATCTCACTGGTGTCTTCTCACTCTATAGATAGACTTCCTCTGTCCCATCTCACTGGTGTCTTCTCACTGTCCAGGTAGACTTCCTCTGTCCCATCTCACTGGTGTCTTCTCACTGTCCTTATAGACTTCCTCTATCCCATCTCACTGGTGTCTTCTCACTGTCCTGATAGACTTCCTCTGTCCCATCTCACTGGTGTCTTCTCACTGTCCTGATAGACTTCCTCTGTCCCATCTCACTGGTGTCTTCTCACTGTCCTGATAGACTTCCTCTGTCCCATCTCACTGGTGTCTTCTCACTGTCCAGGTAGACTTCCTCTGTCCCATCTCACTGGTGTCTTCTCACTGTCCAGGTAGACTTCCTCTATCCCATCTCACTGGTATCTTCTCACTGTCCTGATAGACTTCCTCTGTCTCATCTCACTGGTATCTTCTCACTGTCCTGATAGACTTCCTCTGTCTCATCTCACTGGTATCTTCTCACTGTCCTGATAGATTTCCTCTGTCTTCCTGATCTATACCCTTTGTATATAATAAATTACCATGAATTTCCACTTTCCACAATTTGATACCTTACAATATATCCTACTTGAGTTACCACCATCTCTCATCTTTTCTCATCCCATCTTCTCTCTCCCCCCATCTGTTCTTTTCTTCGTCCCTTACACATCATCAACTCTCTTCTTCCTTCTTTCCCCATTCAACTCCTCAACCTTATCTCTCTCCTGCACCGAATCATTTCTCTTCTTCCTGTTTATCATGGCCTTTCTTTCCCCCCATCAAATTATCTCTCTCCTTCCTCTACCCCAATGCTTTCTACCTCTCTTTTCATCTCTTTTCTTTGGATTAAAAGAAGAGTTTGATCTTAAATATTTTTTTACCCTGCATCTGAGTCTTAGTTGTGTTCCCTCCCCCCTCCTCCCAATATTGACTCTTTGACAAGAAAATATTTAAATACTATGTATATGATTTACATTGTGTTTTTATCATTACTGCACAAAATGTTGATTCCTGTTGTTATTGACAGAGTTTAGACATGGTATCAGTTACAAGGATCTCTTAATTCTTACACAAGAAATAACGCATGCTAATGTTTCCTCATGCCGATTACATTCATTATACATGATTTAACCTAACCGATCATGACATTTAGACGTCTGATATCCATTTGTCACAAATGTAACGGAACATATTATACAATATGAATACATTTGGGGAATACAAAAATATTGACGGACACAAGTCCAGCAGCAGTCAATAGGTGGAGATCTGAACCTAACTCCTATGGGAGCAAAATTAGTTTGTAAAGAGGTGGATGGTAGGGTTCATGGACATTGTTATTCGCGCTTTAAAACATTGAAACAGTTACACAATCTGGATTTTTTTAAACAATATTTCATATCACATCTAAATATTTGTGTTAAATTAACTCTGGTTGACGGCTGTAAGGGTCATTTCAGAAGCGATAAAATTTTGATTTCTTTTTTTGGGGGTCTCCTCACAACTTTTGCTGAATCTTAGGCAATTGACTTTATTGAAAATCATCATGAGGTTCCTACTTATCAATTCAAATTTCATTTGGAAATCTGAATTTAGAATCCAGCAACGATATCAAAACCAAACATTAAAATGTCATGAATTCAAAAATAAAGCTATAGCTGTATCTCTGTAGATAAAAAAATACTTTTTTATGATAAAACCACTTTTATCTTTCCTAGGTTTTTATCAGTTTACTAACCGAAAGACTTAACTGTAAGAAACTTAAAACCATCAATTATATCTTCATTATGGAAATGATACAGAGAACCAGGGGGTGGCTGGTCCAGGGGTGAACGACCTAATACCTGTATCATTCAAAATATGGTACAAGCCAGACCATTAAAACATATAGGAGACCATCAGTGGGATTACACCTCATGTGGCCTGTGTTTACAAAAGTTTTCAGATTCATACACAAATCAAATTCCAGTTTGGTCGTGATCGTTTTTAGAGCTGACTTGAAAAAGTTCTTCTCTACTAGAATGTTAAATTTATAATGGTTCTCAAGTCCTGGATAGAATAAATGGCTGTATGATTTCTTACTTTATTTAATGGCACAGAGACTTGATACCATTAAA